GGGGCTGAATAATTTTGCACGCCCAATTTTTCAGTTTTTTATTTGTTAAAAAAGTTTGAAATATCCAATAAATTTCGTTCCACTTCATGATTGTGTCCCACTTGTTGTTGATTCTTCACAAAAAAATTACAGTTTTATATCTTTGTTTGAAGCCTGAAATGTGGCAAAAGGTCGCAAAGTTCAAGGGGGCCGAATACTTTCGCAAGGCACTGTATTTGTTGAAACACAACTCAGACAAAAAAATTGTTCGTATAAAATATCATTAAAGAGGTGGTATGATGGAAAACAAACAAAAAGAGGTTTGACAGGGATCAGGGTGGTGGAGGAGATCCTCGTTTGCTATAAAATTACAAAACTGTGTTTTAATCTATCCATTATCTATACCGCTTATCCTAACAGGAGTTGTGGGGGGCTGGAGCCTATCCCAGCTGACATTGGGCAAGAGGTGGGGTACAACCTGGACAGGTTGCCAGTCTATCACAGGGCTGACACTTAGAGACAGACAACCACACAGTGGTGCTTTTATGTTATTTAAAAATTTGAATCCCTGGCTCTCAAATGGTTCTCATTGTGATGTCATACTGCGAAAGCTCACCCCCTGTGCCACACCAGGCTGAGAGCATAGGGAGCTACATGAAAAAAGTTGTGCTAAAGTATATTTCACTTGCATTGTGTGGCATTCATGTGGACGGCAAAGTGAGAATTTCATTGTACAGGGAAACATGTTTCCTAACTGTGCATATGACAAATAAACACTTTGACCTTTGAAACTAGCAGTGGCTGAATTACAAAATACTTTGTTAGGACATTTAACCTATCTGCCATTCTGAAGCCTAAAGTCTGCAACAGCAGATTCCTCTCCTTCCCATTCAGGATCAGACTCTGGTTCATATATCTCTTTAAACTGGCATGTGTATCTAGCTACAGCAATTATGCAAAGTAAAGATAGACTGAAAGAATACGTTACTCATTAGGGCCTATTCTGATTGGCTGAGGGTGAACATGAGTTATCACATTCAGCCAATCAGAATAGGTGCTGATTTTATGTTAGCAATTTCTGAAACTGCTTGCTGGAGGAGAAATATGTTTTAAATACCCCCAATACCACCTCTTTAAGTCACAGCGAAGCTGCTTGCAACTCAACTCCAGGAGATGGCGCAGTTTTGCATTTTTATACAATACCAGGAGCAACACATAACAAAGTCATGCTCAAATAGTTACTAGGCTGTGACATGCCTGTACTTCAACAGTCAAGACATTCAAAATTCGAGTATTTAGTGTTGCCGGAAAAATAAAAAAATCTACACTCGGTCAACAACAACAACAACAACAATAATAATAATCATAGACAACCGTCAGGTCTCTGTAATTATCACAGAGACTATCTGAAGTCCTCCATGTTTGATTTGATTGGATTTAATTTATTCATTCAAGCATGTAAAACAGTTGATGTGTCAACACATGTAATTTCACACATATCCAACAATAATAATCCAATATCAATTTACCTCTACCTAGTACATGCTTGAACAGAGTAGGAAGAAGTTAGACTTATCTAGTCCTACCCCATGACATCATTTTACAACTTTTAAATCCTAAGCAATATCTCTAGATAAATAATTATCTTCTACACCACACAAGTAATATACTACAGAATTATTACAGTGTTAACATTCTACATAA